CACCGGCCGGTCGATCACCGTCAAATCTGTCGAAGATCGTCAACGCGCAAAACCACTCCGATCCCGCCCCCTTTTATTGGTCGGGCTTCCTTGCCGGCGAACCAGTCGTTGGTCGCGGTCGGCGGTTCCACGCGACGTTTGGAGGCCGTTGCGTGGATCACATGCCCACATGCGACGACAGCCAATGACAGTAGGCGCTGTCGGCCGTTGCGTCACCTGTGGCCGCGCATAAACACACACCTGGTTAACGCGCATCGTTCAGTTGGCATTGAAGTCAGGAGTCGCAAGGTCGGTCGATTTAAACACTAGCCGATGCGTGTCCATCCGTTCTTCCACTGACAGAGTTCTCGCGTGAGCCCGTGCCTTGAACGACATCAACGGTAAGCAAAGCACAGTTTTCATACTTCGCCAACTTCCAGCCATAAGTACCGTTGAACACGGAAGTTGATACACCTGCTGCCGTCCATGATATAAGGATATAACGCGTGTCAGTTTTTGGAGCTTGGTACCGTTACTTCTGTGACACAGCTTCGCCTGTGGCACTCATTCTCCTATCCTAATGTTTTTTTGGAATCTCAACCGTTTCTCACCCGGTGTTTTGATTTCTTCTACCAATTTCTCTCATATGAATTTCGTTCAAAAATACCGTCAACCTCTTGATCCATACTCCAAAAATTTTGCTTCACAAAAGGAATGAGAATTATGACTTGAAACGATGGTTCTAGGCGGATGAGTGGCGTAAAGTAAATGAATTTATGTTTTCTGCACCTTCATCTTTAAAATTCATTTCACCTTACCGTATTACCAGCCGTGTGTTTTAGAGGTGGTCAGAAGTGGTCAGCGTCGAGCAACACTACCGACGGAATGAATTTCGCTTTTGTTGTTATACTTTTTACGTCGCTGGCATTCGCAGCTACAGTGGCCGCGAAAGAAGAGCTGAATGAGGTAACGGTTGTTGCAGCATTTAGCGCAATAGAAATGGGATAATGGTTGTTATGACCGTGCCTTTCTTTCACGGTTGTACAATCGATCGAATTCTTTGCTGTTTTATTCATTACTTGATGCATAACCGATGATTCACCTGACCATCAATCACTTAACCATAATTCCTGCTCCAAGTTTTCAGCGTACTGTGACTTTTGGCTTATTATTGCCAATTTAATAGTATCAGCTTTAAATGAGGTATTTCTTTGGTTTGAGTATGTTCCTTCCTTCATTCTATTTAGATTAATTTGGAGGAATGGTAGAACCAGTGGTAACAACCGTTAACCATATGACACAGAGTTATATAAAATCAGATGGCATTGTTGTATCTTAAAATGCACACCATTAAGCTTGGCGTTAGCACCAGATCATAACTATTTTACACATTTCCCAAAGAACCTGAATAGAACAAGCAGTTTGAAAGTAAATGAACAGTAAATAAATGAAAACCTTGATTATCACCGTAAATCTACAGAACGCCCAATTAATATTTTTTGTCAAGAAAATAACTGTTATATCATAGTATATGACTTTTTTCAGGAATTTTTGTAATCAGTGCATTATACCCGTCTGTTTGTAAAAATATACAGTACACTTTACATTGTACAGTACACTAATTAGCATATCTATCGATAAAGTAGAGATGCAGCTGATTCCCACTTTAGCTGTTTGCATGAACTACGAAAGATCGTAGCCAGTTCATTACATGGCGCAGGAAGCTGAACAGACCTCTGCTATCAAATAGGAATAATTATTTGGTCGATCCAGCAGATACATCCCAATATCAACACGTAAACTGATCTCCTCCAGGACCAGTTACACGACCGGTGGTTCGAAGTTACCAGCGAATTTTATTTAAACAGGCCATGTCTTCATACTGTTTAAGCACCTTCGGTGAAAAATGAATGTCAGACCAATTTGCCCGCTAAGCTATCTCGCCGATGTAGTGAGCGATGTTTCAGCTGTTAATCCTCTTATGCTACCGCATAAATATAGAAATATGTTCGTATTGGGAAGTATGCTAATAAGCACATGACTCGCCCAATGTCAAATTTAATGAAGCACTGCAATGCCCCCCCCCCCATGTTCCTAGCTGCCTGTATTGGAGGGGGCATTTTGGTA